GTGCATCGCGACCCGGACGACCCTTTCAACAGGACGGCGACTAACCGAAGCAAGGAAGGATTGGACGTTCGACCGAAAGGATACGATCGCCCGTCCGCGGTGAATTGGATATCTAATTGGAACATTGGCCATGTTCGTCTATCTGACGAGCGCCAAATATTCAAAGATAACCGGAAGGTTGTCAGTTCGCGGAAGAAATCTAGACGGACGGCCGGTTAACCTGGAGAGTACGAAGGGTGGAATTCTAGTGTTACGCCGAAGACGAAGACGGCGACGTGACTTTACGAAGAGGCGACAGATACGAGTCCGTGGGTCGAACGTACCGCACGCTCAGGTCACGGGACAGGAACGGCATCCCCGTAGAGAACACGTTCGGCAACCTGCCGTCTGCCATCGACGACCTGGACGCCCAGTGCGCCGTCGGCGTGCACGGGTGCGCTTGGCACCGCTGCACCACGAACGAGAAGGGATACGTCGAGAACTTCGAGTACGACGAACGAATCCACCTGGAACTCGAGGAAACCGATCCCGTGCAGCCGTCCGTGCTCTACCTCTCCGTTCGACTCGACGTGACCGGACGCGTGACCGCTGTAGTTCTCTCCGACGGAAGGATGTCGAAGGAGCCCGAAGAGAGGGAGGTGCTGCGACGTCTGACGAATCTCTTGAAATCGGCCGACGTTCTCGTGTATTACGGAGAGTGGGTGAAGACGGTCTTGACGAACAGATGCTCGGCGTGCGACCTGCCGATATCTCGATGGCCGATATGCGTCGACACCTCCGAGGACGCCGACGGGTGCCACGATCGCGATTCCATGTACGAGTACGCGAGCAGAAGATCTTGCAACGAACTTTTTGCACGAGCGTCCGACGACGTGCTGGATGAGGAGCTGTCTGTCCTCCGAGATTACGAACGCAAGGTGCGCAGCAGGCGTCTTGTGGAAACCGTCTTGGACGCGTCAAGGTTGACGGGCACCTTTCCCGAAGGTACCAGGAAGCAGATGCTGTCGTCCATGCTCTGCAGGGAGGCTGCGAGACGGGGTTTCGTGTTTCCCCGTCGAAGAGAGACTGCGGAAGAACCGGCCGAAGGCGGAGGTCTCGTTCTCGAACCAGTGCCCGGCATCCACGATCACGTGGACGTGTACGACTTCAAGTCCTACTATCCCAGGTTCGTCGTCGACCGGAACGTGGACGAGGCGACCGCTAAAGAAGACGGGTCCTTCGTCGACGCGAGCGTGCTCGAAGGTCTTCTGCCGTCCGTACTCAAGAGGCTGGTGCAAGGACGGGACGAACGACCGGAACGATCGGCCGCGTACAAACGGGTGGCGAACGCGTGCATCGGATGCCTGGCCAACTCCGGAAGAGGTCGACTCTACAACCACGTGACGTCGAGCTGCAGGAGACAGCTGGCCAAATTGAATAATTGCGCCGAACGCAAGGGCGCTCGGGTGGTTTACGGAGACACGGACTCGCTGTTCGTGAAGGTCGGGGCGAACGGCAGACCCGACTTGCAGATGGAATTCGAAAAAACTGTCGGCGGAAACGGATGGCAGAAGTTCGTCCGGAGGGAGACGTACAGACGGCTGCTGCTGACGACGGCGAAGAAGAGATACGCGTACCTGCAAGAGGACCGTACAGTCGGCACGGTCGGCATGCTGAACGTGAGCTGTCTCTTATACACATCTAGATGTGTATAAGAGACAGGGAAACCCTGATTTCCAAGATTATTGCGCTGACGCACGACGATCCTGCGTCGGCTTTGGAGGCCTGCGCTGGTGCCTTCGTCGAACTCGCGGACGGTCTGAAGAGGACGAAGACGATTTCGTTATCGAGCGTTCGCCGACTGTCGAAGAAGGAAACGAACGCTCCAAAGTTCAGGAGAGCGTGCGCCTCGCTCGGTCTGTTTCGGCCGGTGCCGTACTACGTCAGACACGAGGGAGTTTCGCAGCACCCTTTGTTCGCGGCGTGTCGCAACGACTTTGTCGACGCGACCAGCCTGCTGGATGCCCTCCGAAAGAGGTGCCCGTCGAAACCTGAGAACGACAGCGTCCTCGGCGTCCTCGCCTCCGCCTTCGGTCGTGGCGCCTGCGATCGATTGCGGGAGGTTCGACTCGCCGTCGAAGGAGTGCCGACCAGACTGGCGGTTGCAGCGTCGGATGCATTCGAGGTTGTGATACCGAACACCAGACTGGCGGTTGCAGCGTCGGA